TTCTTAAAGGAGCAGTGGAGCTGGGGTCTGTGTCCTCTGGCTGTATGCCTGAGAGGGGCTCCCGCCCCCACCCCCAGAGCCTAGCTTTAGCCAAGCTCCAAGCCTGCTGCTGCAATGGGTGAGTCTGAACTCCGAGGGCTCACTTGGCTCACTGAGGAGAAGGTGCCCCCAAGATGCCAGGCCCCTTGCTGTCGGGACTTGGTTCTTGCACCCCGTCTGCTGGGAGAGGCCTCTGGCCCGCAACGGCCCCCACCTTGCTGAAGAACCAGTCCTCGGCGTCCTTGCGGTTCTTCTCTGCCATCTTCTCGTACTGGTCACGCATCTCGGACAAGATGCGACTCAGGTCCACGCCAGGGGCGGCGTCCATCTCCACGTTGATCTCGCCACCCACCTGGCCTCGCAGGGAGCTCATCTCCTGTGGAGGACGGGGATGGTGGTGTGGGCACACGGGCCTGTCCGGTCTCTCACCCCAGCGCGTCCCACACAAGCTCTCCAGACCCCTCCAAGGACTCCTCCCTCATGCTGCCTGTCCTCTCCCCCTGACCTCCTGATGACTTCTGTTCACCTGCTCCGGATGAGCTCTGCCTCCACCATCAGACTAGGGCACCCGAGGTTAGGTTCTGTGCCTCCCCCTTTAGACTGAGGGCTTTCCAAAGATAAACTCCCATTCTTAGGTCTGTGCCCCCAGAATATCCCCTCTAATTTCCAAACTTCTACATAGGGCCCAGATTCAAGGGTTTGTGCTAGGACAAGGGGGAGACCTCTTCACTTATACCCTGTGCTTGTGAGGAAGGCTCACGGGGCGGGGGACAGAAGAGGCCTCTGTGGGCCCCTGGGGGGTTCCTAGGATTCAGGGAAGAAGGAAGGAGTCTGGCCTACACGCTGGCTCTGGGCCCCCAGGGATCAGGGCTCCACAGACAGGGCAGCCCGTCAGGTGACCAGCCCTGGGCACCTGCTCTGGGCTCTTCCCCCAGCCTCAGCCTTGGCACAGCCCAGAGCCCTGCGCCCCCTCCACCTCACCTCCTCGTGGTTCTTCCTCAGGTAGGCCAGCTCCTCCTTCAGGTTCTCGATCTGCATCTCCAGGTCGGCCCTGGCCAGGGTCAGCTCGTCCAGCACCCGGCGCAGGCCGTTGATGTCGGCCTCCACGCTCACACGCAGGGCCTGCTCCGTCTCAAACCTGCAAAGGGAACCGGAGGCTTCCATCTAGATATGTGGACCGGCAGGACCCGGTCCTGGCCAGCACCCTGCTTCAGCCAGGCTCCAGGGGCTTATGAAGAATGAGGAGGGGGAGGAGTGGAAACAGATTCCAGCCCTGGGGACTGCCCCCACCTGGCTTCCTACTCTCCTCCTCCCTGCCTCCTGCCTCCTCTCCTTATATTCCATCACCTCTCCAAGCCCAGCCACCTTCAGAGTTTGCATCCTGGACTCAGAGGTAAACTCCCCCAACCCCAGCTCTTGGCCTACCCCACAGCAATGGAGCAGTCCCTGGGCGGGGAGGGGTGCCCCAGCTCCTCCCCAGCTCACTGGGGAAGGCTCACTTGGTACGGAAGTCATCGGCAGCCAGGCGGGCATTGTCGATCTGCAGCAGAATGCTGGCATTGTCCACAGTGGCCGTGAGGATCTGGGGAGATGGGAGCAGGGTCAGAGCGCGGGCGCTGAGGCGGACCTTCCTGCCTGGGCGCTGTGACGGGGCTGCCTTCCCCTGGGGGCTCCCCTCCCGCCCAGCCTCTCCTCTTAGTGAGCTGCACTCGTTTACGGTGTGGGCCAGGAGTCGGATGCGCTGAAACCTGCCTCCTGCTCCCCGAGGACCTGCTCCCCAGCGCAGACCCCCAAGCCGGGCTCTGCCCTGCACCAGAACAGGTGGCTGCAGGGAGTCTCCCGCTGTCCCAGGATTCCAGAAAACAGAGGGGATGTGGGAAACCCCCACATTTTATAGTTGGGGAGATGGTGCCCTTGAAAGTTTCCCCCAACAAGGAGGCTAAAAGAGTCCTCCCTAAAGAGTATTTTCTAATCAGAAGACACGACCCCGCTAAGCCTTGACCTAGGGTCCAGCAGGCAGACCTGCCCTCCAAGTTTGCTCGGCAGGAGGGAGGGGAAGCCAGAAAAATCCCCAAATAAGGCTCACAAGAGGCCTCCTGAGGCCCCACCCCCTATCTCCTGTCCCCGCCTCCCAGCAGGTGCCATCTGATGCTCACTCAGACCCCTTACTCCACCATCGCCCCAAATCCCCCTACTACTCCAAGGAGAGGTGCCCACATGCCCAGCAGCCTCACGAGCTTCACCCAGCCCCCTCGTGTCCATTGCCTTATCCTGTCACTGTACAAGGTGCAAGAACTTTGTGCTGAAGAAACTGAGCCTCAGAGGAGCTCCCCGAGGCCTGCTTGTCCCTAGCCCAGACTACTGCCCCCGAAAAAGAATAACATGAACCACAGAGCAGCCCCACGGGGGCTCCCAGAGGCCAAGCTGGAGCCAAGATGTCCTCAGCTCCCGAGGCCCTGGACAGCCTCCAGGCTGGATTCCAGGTTTGGGCAGGAGATGGGGGAGAAGTCACGGCCCCCACAGACCCCTCCCCCGGCAGGCCGTACCTTGTTCTTCAGGTCCTCGATGGCGTGGTAGTAGTGGCTGTAGTCAGGGGCGGGCCCCGGGGCCTGCTTCTGGTACCAGTCTCGGATCTTCACCTCCAGCTCAGTGTTGGCCTCCTCCAGGGCGCGCACCTTGTCCAGGTAGGAGGCCAGGCGGTCGTTGAGGTTCTGCATGGTGGCCTTCTCACCTCCTGCCAGCAGCCCGTCAACACCCCCAAAGCTGCCGCCATAGCCACCGCCAGAGCCGAAGCTGTAGCAGCTGGAATAGCTGCTGTTCCCGAGGGCGCTGCCCAGGCCGCCGGCAGAACCCAGCCTGCAGGAGCCAGAACCCATGCTACTAGACAGCCGGCAGGAGGTGCGGGACGGCCCGCCCAAGCCGGAGGAGCCCTTGATGGAGCTGGAGGAGGTGAACTGGCGGATGGTGGTGGTCATGGTGGCGGCAGCGACTGGCAGCACAGAGCAAGAGAGGAGAGAAGCCCAAGGTGAGTGCTGCCGCCGGGGCTCGCTGCCTCCTTTATAGGCCGACAAGTGGGCGGGCGTGGCGATTACAACAGGCTTGCTCTTCTGTTTCCATTCCCGTGGGCTTCATCACCCCTGGCGATCTGCCAGCGCCCGGGTGGCTGTGGGCCCCCTCCCCTCCCACCAGCGGGGCTTTGCCTCATTTCTCCAAACCCCTTTGCTGGGCGTCTGAATATGTGAGTGTGCGTGTCTCTGGTCTTAAGCCGTCACCTGTGATTCAGGCAGGCCCTGCAGCTACACTTTCCCATGACCTAATACGGAGAAGGAGAGAGGCAGGACGGCACCGTCACCAGGCCTCCCAGGCAGCTACCACCCTAGCCCTGCCCACCTGGCCCCTGTGTCTGGTAGGGAGAAGGTTGGGGAACCCGGCAGCCCCAGGCTGAGGTTACTGTCCTTCAACACACCCCGCACCACACAAGGTCCTGGACCTCGGCTGGGCGCTGGAGAGACCGCGAGGAGGGAGCCCCCGTCCCGCCCTAGAAACGGGACCTAAACCGCCAGGCTCAGCACACAACACAGTAATGCTGCCAGGTCTCAGAAGACCACCCCATCTTATAGATAAGGAGGCTGGGGCTTGAGAGGGAGTGTCCCACTGCCCCACATACGGCAGAACTGGGCTGGCAGGGCTCTGTCCCTCATCCACGGCACCCTCCCCCCGGGGCCCCGAGCCCACTGGCCCCTCTGCACAGCCCTGACCCGGGAAGCACCCCAGTTCTCTGACCTGCCCCATTCCTGGGACTCCCTGGTGACCCAGTTGAACCTTCCTCCCCTCCCTTGAACAGGTGGATGGGTCCTGGGCTTCGGTGGGTGAAGAGAAGCTTAGCTACAGGATGGGGAAATGGCAGCTGGGGGGGGTGATGTGCTAAGGGGGGGGAGTGACATGGTAAAACGGAACTGTACCCCACGAGGCCCAGGGTAAGGTGAGGGGCATACACCTTAGGTGGCAGTCTGAGGACACTGCCCAAGAAGCTCTTCCTGACACCCTCCCAACAGTCCCCACACACGGCCTTCCCCAGAGGCCCCTCACAGTCCCCGACATGGGTCTTCAGGACAGACCCTGAGACGCCTACAGCTCTGCCCTGCCCTGCCCACCACCCTGGCCCGGCCTGAGTCCCAGGGTCCCAGCAGGCTCGCTGGGCGGAAGATGGTCGTGTCTCGGGCTGCCGGTGGCTTCCACTTCCCAGACAGGCCCAGACAGCCGCCGCCAGTCGCTGTCAAGCCACCAAAGCAAACAAGACGCCCCCTACGCTCAATGCACCGCAGCCACCCCGCCCCACACACGCCCGAGCTGGGCAGAGCCGGTCTGTTTCCTGGGCCGCTGCCACGGCTCACCATCAATACCCCGACCACTCCTTCAGAAAGCCTCTACTGGCCTCTCCCCCAGACCCACCCCGGCGAAGGCAGGGATCCCGTGACAGGCACAGTTCCTCGGGGGGTCTGAGGGCCCTCCCAGGGACCAGCCTCGGGCGATGGGGGCCCCAGGCTGACTCTCAGAAACCTCCCCATCCCGAGCCCTCAGTCCTCTGGCCTCCTTCCCTCCCACCCTCCCCGAGCCCCACGCCTGACGGGTGGGTAGAACAGGTTGGCAGGTGACAAGAGCCACCCAAAAATTCAACAAACTCTCCTCCTCCTCCGGTCCTCAGCCCACACTGCCCCAAGCCCATAACCACTCCAGATCACACACGGCATTGAACTCCAGGCAAAGCTTTAATAGTGGCCACTGGGGCAGACGCGGGAGGCCCCCTCCGCCAGGGGCTGCAGGAAGCAGGCGCAGAAGGCAGCGGCCCTCGGGCAGTGGCCCCGGCAGGCGCTCGGGGCTCAGCGGTAGCGTGCTCGGAGCTGGAGGCGACGGCTGCCCCGTGCCCTTCGAGGCTGGGCTGATGCGAGTGGGGAGGAGCCTCAGTGGGTAGAGCGGTGGACCTGCTCCCGGGTGGAGATCACCTTGCCGTCCTGGACCTCCTCCACAATGGTGCGCACCTGGCGGTTGGTCACCGTGGCTGCGGACAGCAGAGGAGGGCAGAGCCGTGAACCTCAGGCCAGAGCCCCTCCCCTGTCCCCACGCAGAAGGGTCCTCAGATTTCCCACCTCCTCTGGGCAAGACAGGGCGGCTCTTACCTTCCCTGGTGGGCTGCGAGGCCTGGAACGAGGAGTACTGGGTGGCCAGGCTGCAGGAAGGGACAGGGGGACCTGTCAACCCAGGGGTGCTGGCTGGGGGCCCAGCACCCTGGGAGGAAAAGCAGCCAGGGAGGCTGGGGACAAGGGGAGAGAGGTCCCAGCAAATCAAAGAGAAATCGCAGCTGGGGGTGCACAGAAAAGAATGACCACCGCCAGGGTCAAAGGGCACAGGCCCAGTGGGCAGGAGTAAGGAAAGGGGACACCCCAACAGAAGGCCAGAGGCACTTTGCAGCTCACCAGGCATTTACAAGGAGAAGCTACGCAAGTGGTTTTTCCATATCTAGAAGGGCCCAACTAACAGACTCGATTAAAGCAAGAGAGACCGTGGTTAGACTACAGATGGACTTCCGTGTCATCAGGAAACAAAAAAGCTGGAATACCTGACTAAGCACAGAGACTCCGGTTGTTCCAAGCCCCTTTACCGTAGGGCCCTATCCACCCTCCTAATTTCAAACCTGATCACCATCCTGCTGCTCATCGCATATCGGGTAATGGCGTCACCAACCACAAGTCATGGGAACCAGAAACCCAGGGTCATCGTCACCTACACCTTCATGTGCTCACTACACACTTACTGAGTCCTGCTGCGAGCCTTGCTCACCCCCTGTCCAGGCCTCTTCCTGCCCCTGCCCTGCCCCTGCCTCACTGCAGGCCTGCCCGCTCCCTGTGCAGCCTCCTCACAGGCCCTCCTGGCCCACTCTGGCCTCCCCGATGCTTCTCTCCCTCTGCAGCCAGAGTGAATGTCCTGAGGCATCTTGATCATACCCATCCTGTGCAAAACCCCTCCGTGGCACCCGAGGCCGACACCATCTAGCCAGCGTGCTGCAGCGTGTCCCTCAGTGCTCCTCCCACTGGACCCGGCCGGGGTCTCAGTGCCCCCCCGCAAGCCTCCACCCCTCCTCCGGACCTTGCTGGTGCTGCCCCGGCCACTCACACGCCCCTCCCTGGGTGAAGTGGCCCCAGCCCACTTGAGCAGGTGCCCGAGTGCCCCCACTCACTGGGCGTCCTCGCCCTCCAGCAGGCGGCGGTAGGTGGCAATCTCCTGCTCCAGCCGAGTCTTCACATCCAGCAGCACCTGGTACTCCTGGTTCTGACGCTCCATGTCACAGCGCAGCTCCCCCAGCTGCTGCTCTATGCTGCTGATGAGCCCCTGCAGCTGGGCCAGCTGGGCCCCGTAGCGCGCCTCGGTCTCCGCGAGGCTGCCCTCCAGCGATGCTTTCTGTGGGCCAAGGAGTAGGTGGGTGGGTAAGACCAAGATGTCGGGGCCCTTCCCTTCCCAGAGGGGGACCCCACCTTTTGGGTTGTGGGTGCAGACAATAGGTAGGGAGGTAACTAGGGAGAGAGGGGCCCGTGGCACTGTGTGTAGTGGCACTGTGAGGGAGTCTCTGGTTCTCTGAGTGGGGGTCTCCCCGCCCTGGGGTGACAGGGACACGGAAGGAAGGGACGGAAGCCCTACCATGCTGAGCTGGGACTGCAGCTCGATCTCCAGGTTCTGCACGGAGCGACGGAGCTCGGTGATCTCTGTCCTGTGGCCCTGCAGGGCCTCGGTGTTGGTGGCCACCTCGCGGTTCAGCTCCTCCGTCTGGAAGCAGGCCAGGCCACCAGGCCTTGAGCAGGCTTGTGGAGGTGGGACCGAGGACAGGGACCACCCCGAGCCCAGACCTCCCAGACTTGCTCCACCAGCGCATTGCTGGCCTCTGTGGGGCCCCAAACACACCTGCACTTGGACACCCTCTGGCCCACAGGGGGGCTCAGCGGGGCTCACCCTGCTTCGTGGTCATTACACTGGTCACTGCTCCTGAGCTGTGAGCACTGCGCAGAGACAGGCCCTGGGCTCTACTCTCTCTGTGCCTGTTGCTATCCAGGGACTGTCGCTGCTCAGTGTGCTTCCTCAGGACATGAGCATCCAAACACACACCTACAAAGGCCTGTGCAGGAGAAGCCCTCGCTGGGGTGAGGAGACCTGGATCTGCCCCCCGGTCGCCGCGGAGGGTGGTGTGAGCCAGAGGCCTCTCTGAGCCTCACAGACGCACCTGAACTCGAGGGCTGGTCCAGCTGGTTTCCAAAGGCCCTTCCAGATGGAACAGGCTGTGGAGCTACCCATTTTCCAGCCACACTCAGCACACAGCACCTGCACGCACACGTGTGTGCACACCTGCTCACGCACGGCCACCCACCTTGCTGAAGAACCAGTCCTCGGCGTCCTTGCGGTTCTTCTCCGCTATCTTCTCGTACTGGTCGCGCATCTCGTTCAGGATGCGGCTCAGGTCCATGCCGGGGGCGGCGTCCATCTCCACGTTGACGTCTCCACCCACCTGGCCTCGCAGGGCATTCATTTCCTGGGCAGAGAGGAGCGCAGGAGCTCACCCAGGGCCACCCTGGGGAGAGACCCTGGGGCCTGCCTTCTCCACCTTGGGAGACAGGTGTAGATGATGGGCAGACACAGACCAGCCGACAGCTCCTCACCCTGAAGGTGGAGGCAGAGGTCATGTCTCAAATGTGTGGGGCTGTGGATATCAAACATCTTCCCCAAAACACATCCAGTGTCCCTCCCCAGTGAGTGCAACCCTGTCATGGCCGGGGTGAGCCAGGAATGCCTCACCGCCCGTCACCGGTGCCAGCCACGCAGCACAGCGGGGAAAGCAGCCCAAGTCGGTCGGGAGGACCAGACCACACCAGGAAATGCAATCCCTACAGCCAGCCTCAAAGCCAACTGGAGACACGTTCTGGGCTCCTGCTACTTGGGGACTGGGCTCCCCTAGCTCAGGGCAGCCCAGAGTCAGCTGAAAAGGAAGCCACAGGCTCATGAGTCCCCCTGCAGGACCTTGGGTTGAGCCTTGGCGTCCCTGGGATCCAGAGTTCCTGAAAAAGAAGGTGGGAGAGGTGGCAGAGTGGTGGGGCTGGACCTGGACCTGGACACGGGTCAGACAGATCGCAGGGAAGATGCTGTGCAGCCTTGGAAAATTCCTTACCCTCTCTGAGCTGTTTCTTCACTGGTAGAGGGAAAAGCAAGCACCCTTCTCCTAGCTCAGGTGTCGGTATCAGCTGAAATAATTGCTGTTAATCACTTGTAATGTGCTGGGCAGATGTTCGTTGTTATGACTATCACCATTATAATTAATTGTAATAATTAGCATGCATGTTCTTAGACTGATGTGCTCATTAGATAGTTAACTGCCACCACACAGTGGGCTATGCCTTAAGGAACATGGAAAGTATCTTTGTGGGGAGAAGGCCGTCCAGGCCTCACCCAGGGCCCTCTGAGGGTTGCCCAGGTGAGGGCCAGGAACCCAGCCTGGGTGGGCACCGGCCCAGGAAGAGTCAGCTGCCGCAGCCTTGCTTATCCCCAGGCAAGTTTCCCTGCCTGCGTTCCCACGTTGGCCTCACCTCCTCGTGGTTCTTCCGGAGGTAGACCAGCTCCTCCTTCAGGTTCTCGATCTGCATCTCCAGGTCGGCCCTGGCCAGGGTCAGCTCGTCCAGCACCCGGCGCAGGCCGTTGGTGTCGGCCTCCACGCTCATGCGCAGGTTCAGCTCCGTCTCGTACCTGGGAGGGGGAGGCGTGAGCCGTGGAGGACCACAAGGCCCACCTGCACAGAGCGCTCTGTGATGTGCAGAGCTGGACCCGCCGCCACAGCCCAGGAGGCCCAGACTCACTTAGTGCGGAAGTCGTCGGCTGCCAGGCGGGCATTGTCGATCTGCAGCACCAAGCTGGCATTGTCGATGGTGGCCGCCAGGATCTGGGGACGATGGCGGGTGCTCTGAGCAAGCCCCTCCGCAGCCCCCGGAAGACCTGCACCACCCCCTTGTAGCCCTTCGGAGAGTGTGCCAGAGTGAAGGATGGTCCCTGTGGTGTGGTTTCCTCCTCGGAGGGCCCTGCTGGGGGACTCACAGAGTGGTGGGGCACAATGCCCAGGCACAGGTAACCATGATGCCAGGAGAGAGACCCTCATGTACCCCTCAACAACCAAGGGGGTCATTGCCCAAGCCACCAGGACCTCACTCCCTCTTTCCCAACTAACTACCTCTAGACTCAATTACCACCTCCTCCAGGAAGCCCTCATCAAGCCCCCACCTGGGCCCCTCCTCCTGGACACACCTCCTCCCTGCCCATCTCTCTTCCAGGGCACTTCTCCCGAGTGTGACTTTTCCATGGCTTTTCATTTCCTCCTCCAGTGAACTCTGAGTTTCAGGAGACAAGTCCATGTCTGTCTTTTTCCCTTCAGACTCCCCAGCCCTGGGCACAGGACCGGCCCACAGTTGGCTCCCAAGGCCAACACCAGTTTAATTAAGTGATTAATTAGTTAATCGATGAGATGATGACGGGCCCCACTGTAAACCTAAGGCAGAGTTTTCTTTTCCCACAGGGTCATCGGGAGGTTGGAATGAGAACATGGAAGATTCTGAAAGGAGCAGAGGGTTAGTTATTATTACTGCTGCCGTCACTGTTATTGTGAGAAATGCCCAAGACAGCGAGGCCCAGAGGGAGCAGGCCAGTGGGGTTGAAGGTGGGATGATTCAAGGCCAAGGGCTGACACGTAGAAGGTCTAAGAGGGGAAGGCCCGCCAGGGGAATGCATCCCAGTAGGCTCGTCTGGTCTGGGCAGTGACCTGGTCAGGCCCCGTTTCCAGACTGAGTCCGAGGGCCAGTTTGTGACCCACCCCGGGCCTCAGTGGGCCAGTCCCCTCACCTCCCTGTTCAGGATGCCAACTGGGTCCAGCAGGGGCCATTGCGCAAATCCCTGAGGGGTGCAGTGACTCAGAGGGGAGGGGGCCGGTTGCAGGGTGCACCGGGGTGCGGGTGAGGAGCTGTCTGGCCCGGAACAGCATCGAGAACACACTGAGTCACCGGGGCTCCCCTGGCTCCCCTGCCCAGGCCAAGCCCAGGACCCGATCCGGCAGTCCCGGCTGCTCTGCTCCCGGGGGCAAATGCAGGAAGTCCCGCCTGGTGCCAGCAGCACAGGCAAAGTCCCTCGAAGGCGGCACCACGCCCGGTTCTCACCAGGAACTGAGCAGGCCTGACCGCTGGGGACCAGCCCGGCCCCACCCTGCGGTCCTCCAGCCTGGCTCCCTGCTTCTCTTCCACCAACCGCTCACCTGCCCTGGGGGCTGCAACCCTGCAGATGCCTCCAGGGCCCATTTGTGCAGAAGACCCAAGTGCCACACTCACGGAATGCCAAGGCCATGTCCTTAGAGGTCATGGGTGTGTGAGAAACAGAGAGAGAGAGAGAGAGTTGTCTCCTTCATCAGACTAAGAGAAATTCCTTCTCTCGAGCTTCTTCCTTCAAGGACTCTACCCCTAATCTGCAAGGAGAGACAGCCTCTGCCCTCAGGGACCCCCAGAGTGATCTTCATGGAGGGAGTGAGGAGGACCCACAACAAAAGCAGCCATGAGAACATGCCAAACTCAGTGAAATTAGCACAACGAAAAGGGCATAGATTGAACCTCAGCGTGTTGAAGGGATCCCACGGTCTGGGGATAAGAGGCAAGTTCCATCCATCCAGGATGACTGCCTGGAGGAGGTGAGGCAGGCAGACAGGACCAGAGGGGAACAGTTTCGAAGCCTTCCCTGCTTACATTCCAGCTCCCAGCAGCCAACACCACACTCTCCCCCACCTCCGTGCCTTTGCCCACCCTGTTCTCTCCTGCTGCCTTCAAGGTTCTGAAGCCTTCCTCGCTCACTCCTCCATCACCCCCCAAATACACTCCGCACAGAAAGAGAGAACTCCAAACAACCTCCCTGCCCGAGATGTCCTCCAGGCCTGAGACCAGCGAGTGAGTGAATGATGGAGACGCAAGAGAGAAATGTTCACAAAGGTCCAAAGTTGGGATGACTGAGCAGGTACTAAGGATGGGCAGCGGGCAGAGGGCAGAGGGCAGGGAGCTGCCTGGTCCACACACCTTGTTCTTCAGCTCCTCGATGGCCTTGAAGTAGTGGCTGTAGTCCCGGGCGGGCTCGGGCCCCTGCTTCTTGTACCAGTCTCGGATCTTCACCTCCAGGTCGGTGTTGGCCTCCTCCAGGGCGCGCACCTTGTCCAGGTAGGAGGCCAGGCGGTCGTTGAGGTTCTGCATGGTCTCCTTCTCACCTCCCCCCAGCAGGGCCTCTGACACACTGTAGCCGGCGCCATAGCCCCCGCCCAGGTTGCAGGAATAGCCCCCACTATAGCCCCCGCCTAAGCCGGCTGTGAAGCGGGATGAGGTGACCGACATGTTGCCGCAGCTTCCAGCTCCCAGGAGGCTGGGGGCTCGGCAGGTGCCCCCAACTCGGACCGTGGACACCCGAGAGAAGCCCCCGGTGGGCACACACGGGCCCTTGAGAGAGCTGGAGGTGGAGAACTGGCGGATGCTGGTGGTGGCCATGGTGTCCACAGGTCAGGAGCAGTGCCTGGTCTGGGCACAGACCCTGGCGGCCCTTTATAGCCAGGCTACAGGGGGGCAGGGCCCCTGGCCCTTGAAGTCAGAGCCAAAACCCCAGCTGTGTAATTTGCTTCTGTATCAGCCGCCCAGGGCCTGGGGCTCAGGCCGGACCTGCTGAGTGCATCCCCCAGGCCCCCTCTCCTGCCTGAGCCTGGCCCGGACCCGTGGCCTCTTAGGAGCCCATTGTTCAGAAACAAAGGTGGTGTTGGAGCTGCAGCCGCGGGGTAGGGTGATGCTCCATCCTCAGCAGCAATTAGGCCTCTGAGCTCATTCTTGGGGGAGTTGGAGAACCCAGCCCTGGGAGCCAGAAAAGACCGGGAACAAGGCTCCACAGGCCTGAAGCCCAGAGGCTGCTCTGCCCCCAACCCAGCATTCCCGGTCCCCGGGGACAGGGTGGAGAGACTCAGGGTGACTGACACCCTCGCTCACCTCCAGTGGGCCTTGAGGAGCCCCCAGGCTGAGAGGGACACTCTACCTCTGACCTGGGGAGCCCTCAGGTCCTCGGAGTGCTCCCAAGTCTATGGCCCTGGCCTGGGGCGCCCCTTATCTAAGGGGAATAGACACACAGCTGACCTGAGAGAGCTTCGGATCCAAGTCTTATAGGAAGTCAATTCATGAGCCTCAGTTTCCTCGTTTGCAAAATGGAGATGATTCCTGTCTCCCATGGCCTCTGAAGGAATCTGGGGAGCCAGTGACATCCGCCAGGCTGGGGCTGAGGGGGAGGATGGGGCCAGGTGAGGGTGACCACTCCTGCTCATTTTTCTAGCACCAGGATTCGGGGGGCAGGACCTGTGGGGCAGGGCGCCCCTCAGTCAGCTCTGCGCCTGCGCCCTGCAAGGGAGCAGCCTGATCCCACATCCGGGCGGTTGGCACCCGCCACCACCCGACAAGGGGATTACCAGCCTAATCTCTGCGGCGCTAATGATTTAGGCGCTGCCAGGACACTGGCGTCTGCATGGGGCCTGTCTGAATGGGGAGCTTCCCAGGGCAGCGGGGGCCCATGGGCAGGGGAGGGCCAACCTGTCTCTACGGGAAGCTTGCGGGTGGCCTGGGCACCCCGCCACACACAGGGACGGGGGGGAGTTGGGTGTTCCATGCCACCAGAGCTCCTATGATGAGACTAGATACTGGAAAGACTCCTGCTCAGATGGAGGGTGATCTCTCATGAAAGGTGTTCCTTGACTTGAAGAGTGGGGACAGCACGAGCTATCTAGGAGAGAAGGCACGAACCCCGATCTTATCCTGCTTCTGCCCTGCCTAAGAAATTTGGGGTTCCGAGGGTTGCTGAGGGTTGGAGGGAAGGGGCCCAAAGCCAAGGTCAGACCACCAGGGCTGTTTCATGAGGTTAGACATCAGGAAGGACTTCCTGGCACACCAAGACCATCTTGGGGGAAGAGAGGGAACCAAGAGAACCTGAGGTCACCCCGGGGGGCCAGAGGCAGGCCTCGCACCAGCTGGTCACCCTCACTCAAATGGCATGCAGTGAGGAGAGACCCTCCCCATCCCCCCATCCCCACACTGCCAGGAGCCGGCTGCCCCAGGGGCTCCTCTGCCCCTCCCCCTCCGGGCCAGCCTCACTCCCTCTGAGAAGGGACTGCCCCTCCCAGCAATCCCAGGAGCAGAGCAGGGACCTGGGGAAGGGCCAGGCCTGAGACACCATCTGCCCTTCAGTGTCCGCCCTGGAGCTCACCTCCAAGGCCCCCAGACCTTCGCCTTGAGGCCCAGAGAATCTGTCCTCCGTCCCTCCTCCCTTCAAAGTCACCAAGGCCTCTGCCTGTCACCATTCGCGCCTCGCCGGAGGGCAGGCAGCGAGCTCAGCTCTGGGCCTCTGCCTCCCCACACCAGCGACTCCCAGACCCTTCGCTGCACCTGCGGAGCCCTCCCGGCACAGACGGCCGGCTCAGGCCCTCTCGCAGGCGACAGGGCAGATCCACTCCGGGAAGACTCTCTGGGCTTCCAGAGCGTAGGGCCGTCCCTGGCAGGCCTACCACAGACATTCCTCCAGCACAGCCAGGGACGGCCCCCACCAGCTCTTCCCCTCAATGCTCCTGAGGTTAGACATCAGGAAGGACTTCCTGGCACACCAAGCCGGGGGGGGGGGGGCACGGCTCAGGGCAGTCCTGCGGGCCGGGCGTTAGCAGCAGAGCCACGCCTGGAGCCAGGGCCCAAGCAGCTCCCACTCTCCCTGCAGGGAGGAAGACTTGGCAGGAGCCAGCCAGAGGGCCGCTCAGCCATGGCTGCTCCTGCCCAGGCCTGCCCTCCACCCCCAGCAGGGAGAGGCCCCTGGCAGCTGAAGGGCAGTGCAGGCCTACAGACCCCACGGTTGTCAGCAGCTTGGCCCACACGGAGGCTGAGGAAAAGGAGGAAGAGATCCAGCCCAAGAGGCTGCTGGGAATCCAGGGCAATGGGGAAGGGGACAAGGAGAGGCCCCAGGCCCTGGCCAGTTTGGCTCAGCGGTTAGAGCGATGGCTCAAGGACCAGAGAGTCCTGGGTTCAGTTCCCGCCAAGGGCGCGTACCTCGGTTGCAGTTTGTCCCCAGTTCCGGTTGGGGTCGTGTGGGTGGCAGCCAGTCAATGTGTGTGTGTCTCTCTCTTCCTCCCTCGCCCCCTCCCACTCTATCTCAAGATAAATGCAAAAATGTCCTCTGGTGAGGATAAAAACAAAAAGAAGAGGCCCAGAGAATAGCTCCCAGCATCCCCCAGGGACCTCACGCCAGGCCCAGGTCCTGAGGCTCCTGACCAGCGTGCTAACAGGTGGAAGAGACAGGCCCTGCCTCTGGGATCTGACAGAATCGGGGTGCCAGGGAGGGTCCCCGGGACTACACCCACCCCTGTGATGTTGATGGAAGGCCCGAGGCAGTGCGTGACCTGAGGGCCCGTGTACAGTGATGGTCAATAAACACACCTTGAGCCCTGGCCGGTTTGGCTCAACGGTTAGAGTGTCGGCCTGTGGACCAAAGGGTCTTGGGTTCAATTCCCAGTCAAGGGCACATACCTGGGCTACAGGTTCGAGCCCCGGCCCAGTCGGCGTCATGCAGGAGGCAACCAATTGATGTCTGTCTCTCACATCGATGTTTCGATGTTTCTCCCTCTCTTTCCCTCCCTGCCTTCCACTCTATCTAAAAGTCAATGGGAAAATATCCTTGGGTGAGGATTAACCAAAATAAATACATAAATAAATGCACAGTTGCTGTTGATGAAGGCCAATCCACATCTGCTCAGCCGCCTTGTCTCCTGCAGGCCTGCACACATTAACCGTCGCTCTCTAGGACGGTGCCCCCCAGCCCCACCCAAAACCCAGAGTAGCAGGTGCTCTGTGGGCGCTTGTTGAATTGTTGGGGTCATGGAGCCTGGGCACGTACTGGGATGGAGACAGGGACCCAGGAAGGGAACACCCGGCCACTGACCCTCTCCCCACGGGAAAAGGGTCCACACCAGGTGAGGTCAGGTAAGCGAGAGGAGTCTGGGACCTTGTTTGGTTAATGATAAGAGAACCCCAAATCCTTCAGGGGTCTCAAAGACCCGCACGCTACCCCTGCCACTAGGGTGCCTACCATCTCCTTCCCATTGACCCTGGAATGAGCCGGGCAGGGCCAGCAGGGAGCTCACAGGGCCCCGACCCCTTGCAGGTCCCCTCCCCTGACGTCACCCCGGAAGCATTCCTGTGGAAGTGCAGCCTCACCCGCCCGCTGCCCGGCCCAGATCCACCCACTAATGGTTTGTGTCTGGCTCCTATTGGGAGCCCTGCCCTCCCACTCCCGGGCCGAGGGCGAGTGAGCTCCCTGGGCTCCTGGGCCCTCCCCGTTAGGGGTCAGCAGGGGCCTCAGTGGTCCTGGTGACGCTCTGAGGGCCAAGCAGGCTCAGCCACTCCCTCTGCCTGGTTCCAGACCATCCTTCCGGGTGACCCCAAGGCAGGACACAGACACCTGTGGACACTCACCTGTCCAGGCAGAGCCGCATCATCGCCCAGGACCCTTCCCCAGAAAGGACCCAGAGGCCTGAGTGCCCCAGATGGGACCCAGGGCAGGAGGACAGGGCAAGGAGGGGGGCCCGAACCAGTAGGAATGGGCGGGCGGAAACGGGAAGGGGAACTCTTCCGCCTGCCGCAGGCTGCTCCAGGGGGACAGGCCGCCTCTCCCTCTGCCCTCCCTCCCTCCCCACCCCTTCCTCCCCTCCCGACCCCGCCCTTGGCCTGAGAGGTGTGGGGAGACGAGGGCAGCAGCTCAGGCGGGTCCCCCTCTCAGGCCCGGGGCTCACCCCCCTCCGCACTCAGTCCCGAGGGCCTGGAGAAGCTCCAGGCTCCTGCACTTCGGGCCCCAGCCTCCCAGGGCCCTTGAGCCTGGCTCACCTGCCCATCTGTGCTTGGCCCTCTTTGCCTTCTAGGCTCGTTACTCCACACTCACTGGTACCTGGGCTTCAGTGCTCTTGAAATTTCCTCCAGGGCCAGATGTGGCCCAGGCTCCCGGAGAGAGAGGCTCCGTCTCTCCCCGCAGACTGGACACTTCCTCAAGGTAGCAGCTCTGTTCACCCCAGCCTGGGATCTGGCTGGGGGTGGGCCTTGTGTCTCCTTGTGGGGACCCCAGGGATAGTCCAGCATGGCCTGTCCCCTTCTTCCTTCACTTAACACAGCTGGCAGGAGGGGGTCTCCTGGCTCTTTGTCTTGGTGCTGACCGCCCAGCCCGCCACCTGTGTCCCAGCTGCCTGACCACCAGGGGAGGGGGGCTGTGCTGCGCTGGAGGATGACCTGCGGGCGAGGAACGGGAGAGGGACAAGCAGAGGGGGAGGACCTGGGGAGGCAGGGTCAGCAGAGGGACGATCCAGGAGGAGGACCAGGGCAGGGAGGACTATGGATGGAGGATCAATGGCAGCAAGAGGAGGCAGAGGGGTCTTCAAACCCAGTGTTCTCATCTCGGGAGGTCTACTCTGGGAAGGGAGGTCGTCCATCCTCTCCAAGGGCAA